TCACAACTAAGATGTGGAATTTTATAAACAAGGCATCAACAACACTCAAATATAGTCATTTTTTTCCTTGAAATCAATACAAAAATCCAAAGTACATTTAGTACATATGGCAATTATTTTAAAAAACAGTCCCATGAGAATGAAAAAAAGAAGCTGGATAGTAGAAATGAAAGAATTAGCAGCTTAATGAATGACCTTAAGGAAGTCACTCAGTCTGTTTACTCACAGATAAAATGAAGATAACACCACTCTTTACCTTTAAAGCATCTGGGCAAGGATCTGAGATAATGTATGCTAGACACTCCAGAAATGTCTTAAAAGTGAAGTAGGAGTCTAGGCTTGATATAAAAGGTTATAAGTGTCCACTATAAAACTGAACAGCTGAGTCGGATGAAAGTGAGGGAGGAGAAGGTCTATTAGCAAAATAAGGGAGAATCTAGAGAGAGAAAGAGTAATTAGGACACACTGTACCATCTAGGTGAGAAGTGTTTATCTATCGCTGTGAAGAAGATGGCAACAAGAATAGAAACAGAGAAGCTTATGTGATTTTCTATAATTAGGTATCAGCAGTAACAATTGGTGCACCTACCTTGTGTAGTTACATGCTTCAAGAGAGCTTCAAGGTGTTCCTTTTCAGAAGCAGTAGCTTGATGGAGCCAAGCCAACATATCTCCCACATACCTAATGGAAACTACATATTAGTAAATATTTCCTTGGAAAAAAACATCAAACCCTGTCTACCGTTATCTGATTATTATACCTCAAAGGGTCGTGAGAATGCATTTCAATAGGTCTAGGTGTACCTCCTGGGCCCCCTCTTGTAAGAGCATCAATAAATCCACGAACAACTGTACTTCTTCTGGCTGTTCCAAATTCATCTAAGGTATACCTAGAAGAAACAGTTTATATGAAAAGCAGTTGGCACTTTTTTCTAACGGTTATATCAGACTATTCATGCAATGTCTAAGATAAGCAAGACACAGCTCCTTCAAGCATTCTCTCAAACAATACTGCTTTTAAACAAGAAAAAAAGATTTATGAGGTAACTTTAGCATATTGAAAATTCAATCTAAAGGTAAAATTTTTTACTCCTTCTAAGAGAGAATGCTAGGATTTAGGACTAAAACAGGGACATCCGTCATAAGGGATAGAGCAATGAATTTAGTAAGAGAAAATCAAGCCAAGGTGGGAATTCCTAACTCTTCAAGTTTCGGTATATTTGTAGTCCAAAGCATGATGCTCTACTGTTTTACATGAAGCCATAATATCTAGTACTCAGAAGTTGGTTATTTAATTAGAACTCTGCAATCCAAAAATTAAGACTTTTTCTTCTACGTTAAAAAATTATCCTCTACACATACTATCACAATTTACCAGCAAAATGTGCCCTAAAAATTGCTGTCCATTTTTTAAAGCTTATTTTGACCTCAATATTAGACATTTAAATTAAATGTTCCTTAAATTTACTGACCAATCATGCATACACAGCAAATATGTTTTTCAAAATATACATATATTTAGAAATCACCCATTATAATTGAAAAGAGGGAAAAAGGCTTTCTAGAACAAGGTGAAGGAATTGGTAGGAAAGGAAAGCCCTGAACTGGGGGATAGGACAATTTGAGATGCAATTTACGAAGATGGCCTGGAGTTGCCAACAGAGCCCCGTTCTTGGACTAGGCTCAGCCTTTGTTTCCCATTATCACCCCCACTCCTTAGATCCATCCCCAGGTGAAAGTTCTTTCTATTTTAAACGTATACAGGAAAATGAAATATTTTTTAGCAGTCCAATGTTAGCAGATTCTTCTAGACCCATTAACTTTTTTTTTTTTTGAGACAGAGTCTTGCTTTTTTGTTGTCCGGGCTAGAGTGAGTGCCATGGCGTCAGCCTAGCTCACAGCAACCTCGAA